ATACATATATTTATCTAAGAAAAATATTAAGAAAAAATATATATATATATTATTATATATTAATAATGAAAACATATTAAGAAATAAATATATAAATATTATGTATATATTAATTATCAAAATATATTAATAGTTTAAGTTATGTATTACCAGGGAGACGCTGGAGTCTTCGAGACTCAGGATGAGTACGGGCTACAGGGGATTCCCTTTCGAGCAGTTGGAACTGCGAGTCTCGCATTATTGTATGGATATATTGAATAATGAGCTTCAGAAGATGCGAGACTTCGACAAAGATGTTTCTGATCTGTGCGATTGTGCGCTGAAATACACTCATGGACTTCCTTGTGCCTGTGACCTAAGGGAGGCACACACTGAAAGTAGAGAGATTACGCCCAACGACATCCACAGGTTCTGGAGCACACTAGTGGTGACGGAGCCAGGTATACTTGCGAGATTAATAAATTTATAGAACATCATGTAAAGAATATGATTTTATTAAATTTTGTTTATTTTTTTTTTTACTCCACGTATTGCTTCATTTATAGAATTTTTGATAGAGCTTATTGTATAATTTTTTAAATTTTCGGTACGGACAGGTCAGCAGAGTGCATCGGCGAGTGGATGGACTGATCATGATTATTTTCGGCATTTGCCGAGGAGGTTGAAGCGGCCGATCCTGCGACTGTACGGTACCTGAACCATGTCATCGCCTCTCAACTTCATCCTGATGAACAGGGATACATAGAACCTGAAGTGAAGGAAAATCCGAGAGGTCGCCCCAAGAAGAAAAAATCAACAAAACGAGATCCATCGAGATGGGAGTACACTGTTGGAGGCTGTACGGCGGGGCGTAAAAGCACTTCTTCGTGTGCTTCATCGCAATCGGGGTACACGGAAACAGGTCGTCAGCCGGGGCGTAAGAGCACTTCTTCGTGTGCTCCGTCGAAGTGGGAGTACAGGTAAAGAGGTCGTCTGGGGGCTTGTACAAGCACTTCTTCGTGTGCCCCGACATACTCATCGTCTCAAGATACTACAGGTAATTTTTTTTTTTTTTTTTACTTGAACGATGACTAATTCTGTTTGTAAATTTAATTACCTAAATTAATCGTGATGTGAAATTATTCTGATATTATAGATACTTTCGAGACGGATTTCTTTCAATATCGACATTGTGGTAAAATTCCCTACGTAGTTCACAGCTACATACAGAGTTATCTTGATGTGACGCTGGAGGGGAACTGCAGATTCCGGGTGGTTGCGAGTTACATTTATAGGGATCAGGGGATGTGGCAACTGGTAAGAACTAATGTTGCAAATGAGGTTGCAGCCAACACACATTTGTACGCTCTTTTTTATTGGAATGGAGTCGACGTCGCAATCGATCGTATAAGATGGGACGGGGGTCCTTGTGGCTGGGAGCATTGGATGGATGCGTATGGCGACCTCGTTGCTATTGATACACTGTTTAATGCAGTTGTTGTGTTGTTAGGCTATGGTCCCAACTATAACAATATGAATATGGTCAGTATGACGGTATTCCCGCTCCGCGCATCATCCACGGCTACACGACCTGACCGTGAGATCGTTATAGGTCATCTTGGTTCCTACGAGCACTTCATTCGTGTGAATCTGTGTTCTGATTTTCCATTGCCACCTATGTGCATGTTTTGGGAGAGATTCCGAGATGTTTAGGTTGAACATTGGCCGGATCAGTACCAGAGCAGGTTCCAGTTGTGGCATGATATTCGTACTACAGCTGGAGTATAGATTGTGATATTTGACATTCATCATATTTTCATGCATTATGAGTATATATTCTTATGGGGTATATTTCGGCTTATGTTTGCGGTTTTTCTTTTTTTAATTTTATTTTCATGCTTTACGAGTGATAGATTGTAATATCTCGTTGTGTTTACCGTTTCACGTGATATAATAGGAAATTTTTTTGTTTGGATAAAAATAAAATTAACTAACCACAAAAAAAAAATAAAAAATAAAAAATAAAAAACATAAAACAATTCTACTAATAATTTGTTACAAAATCCAAAAATAAAAAAAAAATAAAAAAATATATATATATTTATTACATCACTACAGCGCTCTGTCGAAATCCGACTTCAATTGAGCCATTTCTTCTGCAAAAATTGCCGCCCTTTCAGGAGCAACTGCCGCGAACTCCTGATGCACATCTGATGACATGGACTCCCACCGTCTGACCCATTACACAAAGCACAAGAAAATAAAACAAATACACACATTTAAATTATAAAACATAAAAAAAAAGTGTAATGAACGAATACTAAATAAAATTTAGTAAATGACTTACAAAATCGACGTTGGCGCGCGCAGGGATAGCCTCGACGTCCGTCTGACTATCGGGCAAGAGCCTAGGATGAGAATACCGCTCATACCATCGCTGGTAGTCATCATCGGCCGCCCCCAGATCATTTGCCGTGGTCGGAGTAAAATCAGACAAGCGTACAGAATGCAGCAGCGGGAACTGGC